CTAGAGGGAAAAACTCAGTATAGTGTACACCGAGTCACAAGGTAGCTTTTTCTAGCCTAAAGTCATTGAAGTGGGTCGTTGGAGGGTGCTCTGGTGTGGTTTACTCCTTCTTTCCTGTCAAACATCCATCATCCTTATCTCCCCTCCTCCTTTTTTTATGTTTGTTTCTCTCTTGTAACACCTCTAGTCTTCGGCACTTATATAACTGTATAAGTGTTGCAAGTGCAGTAAAACTCTTATTAAAGCTTTAAAAAAAAAGTTATTGAAAGGGAATTGCAAGTCTGCAAACAGATATAATATTATATACTGGTCTTTGGAGGGTACGTTAAATACAGTATACGTTTTATTGTTCTTTGTACCTGACCTCACAGCACAGAATGTATCATCAGAGGAAAGTTACTGTGACTAGGTTATTGAGCTAACAGTTTCATGCTCTCCTCTAGCTGTCAGAGCTACTTCTCTGTGACGATATGTGCTGGGCCGTGGGGTCACATGACAACACAGCTGAACCTTCCGAACAATTCTTGTCTTTCTTTCCTCATTCCACTTTTTTGACTGCCAGGTGCTGTTGTGGAGTAAATTGTGATCGCTTTCTGAGGTTCAAATCCGGCTAGGGCCCAAATTATTTCTCTTGTTCTTCAGGGAATATTTCATCTCAGCTGGGTGCTCTGATGGGGAATGAAGTGCTTTGCCTCAGTTATTACCACTTTGTGTTTAGTTGGACACTGATCTTAGACAACAACTTTGTAGAACAGAAATTTGTCAGCCAGTTGTTTAAAGTATTCTTAGCTCAATTTTTTTTGCAATGCAACTAAACATTAGTGTGACGTTTATGAATTGCGATCAGTAAACAGTCCACTAGTAATGGTCTGAACAGATTTGTTTGAGAAGCTACTAAGGTGTTCGAGCCAGTTTCTTTGTTCTTTCTAAGCTTTGGCTTCAATTTTCTTTTTTCTTTCCTTTTTTAGAGTGCTCAACCGCAGTCAATGATAATTTTGGAACTAAAGCACCCGGAGACATAACTTATACTTGTATAGCATGAAATGTTCTTGCATTTGAGATCCATTATTGTTATATTAAACTGATAATGAGACAAGTGACTTACTTTTTCATGTTTCCACACTTTTGCAGTTTGCTCATGCTAAGGATTCAAACCTCATCTCTAAAACAGCCTGGCATGTTGTGCACTCTGATTACCAGTTTGTTTCTGTGTGGCTTAAAAAAGTTAAAGGGATCAATATGTTTTGTCTTTTAGTATTTCAGGGTAGTCAGTGGAAATTTACGATAGAAGTTACATCAATTTCTTACTATCATTGTATCTCTTTTTCCCCCTCCATATAAAATATGCCTAGCTTGTAAGTGCATAATCTGCTTTATGTGTGTGAATGTGCATATGTACGTTGATTTAGCTGGAGACTGACTAAATTTTAAACTAATTTATTGCTTTCACTTTCATCCTTCCTATATCAAACGCAAGTGGCTCTGAAATCATCTTGTGTATTTCATCCGCTCATGCTGTGAATATCACTGGATTTTTTAAAAACTCGCTTGTCTTACATCAGAAAAATGATTGTTTTTTTATTCTTTGGGGGAACTTTAAAGACTGTGGACGAAATTGTTTTATATACGATATTGTCTTGTTGATGTAGTGTGTGGTTGACAATGAGTGCAGCACAGCCGGCATTTCACAACAATTATTGTTCTCCTCTTTTAAAATGCACAACTCTCTCTCTCTCTCTCTCTCTCTCTCTCTGTCTCTCTCTCAGTCTGTCTCTCTCTTTCTTTCCCATTCTCTCTCTTTTCCTTTTTATTGTTTCTGTTGTAGTTCATAAGCAATGCAATCCAGGATATTTCATAGGTACTGGTGAATAAAAATTTTGTTTACGGAAACAGTGACTGATTTGATTTTGTCATTTAAATACTCCACCGTCACCAACGCCTCCCCCCCCCCTCACCCCCTTTTTCTGAGGGGTGACAAACGGACTCGCTCTGTAGCAGCTGAAAAGTTGACCTTAGTTACGTTGAAATGATTCGCCTATGTTTATGTATGCGTGTACAACCCTGACAGTTTATGCCGGAATAACACACATCCTATTATGTTGATTTTATGACCCGGACAATATATATATTGGAGTAATGCACATACATGCTGAATTATACAACCCTGACAGTTTATGTTGGAATAACACACATCATATTATGTTGATTTTATGACCCGGACAATATATATATTGGAGTAATGCACATACATGCTGAATTATACAACCCTGACAGTTTATGCCGGAATAATACATTATGTTCAATTGTATTATCCCGAAAATGTTTGTTGGAATAATACACACATTATGTTGAGTTATACAACCCTGACACTTCATGTGTTATGACCATCAAAATAGTCATAGTAATAATATACATGTATATTAATAAGAACACTAGTTTAGAATGGAAACAGATCTGTTTATTGTGGACACAAACTACTAACATGAACAAAAATGCAGAACTAATTTAGTTAATACGAACAGACTTGTCATGGTATTTTTGGAATTAACATTATATCTGGGAGGAACAGGTTTCAGTAAGTATGGGGACAAATTTACTTAAAAGACAATACTAAAGTATAGCCCCCTTTTCGAATTGATCGGCCTAATGCGCAGCATCCGGCGTCACGTGACAGTGTGTCGCAGTTATGTCTCACAGGAACGGGAAATAGTAGGCTTCGGCCGCCACCCTAGCAAAATTCAAAGTTTCCTTCCAACTGAAAATGTTTAATGTGTCCCGCGCGCTCATACGACCTTATGCAGTTGCGAGCGCCGTAAAACACTTGCCAAAAAAAAAAAGAAGGAAAATACCGTGCTTTAATACCGTGATGCGCGGAGTGGAGACGTGGGGGTTGTACTTTTGTTTTATAAAATTCATGACATTCGTGTAGTTACAGGAAAATTCACTATGCTTAATTAAACGGCTTGATACCGGTACAGTACTGCGTGAGATCCCTGTGTCATCGGTCATCAAGTGGGTGGACATTATAAAAAAACAACCAAACCAGCAACAACAAAACGGAAAAGAAACAGACATGAAATTCAATGATGTTGATAAACTCCTCAGAGTCAAAGGGAAATCTTAAAAGCTGATTTCGTGTTACCAAAGACCAAATGGAAGAAAAGAAAAAGTAGACCGACTGGCAGTTTCTAGAGCACGGTCAGGGATGAGGCAAGCACCCAATGTATGGATGTGCCAAGATTAGGCTAGAAGAGGCAAGCCATGGATAGAAAAGCGTGGCGTTGACTGCTGTCTGCCTTGTGTAGCCTAAATGACGGTACAAGGAGAGAGTGTAAGTAACTGATGCAAGCAAGAAATAAATGTATTATAATAATGGAAATTAATTCACGACGCGGTAGAATCAGGCGCTCGTCAATTTATGGACATATGGAGTTGTTGGTATTACTTTAAAGCTTGTTCATATGCCCTGCTTTCGTTGAAAAAATACTCATCTATCCTGAATAGAAGTCGAGATATTTGCGACTGAAGGAGGTGGG